AAAAAAAAAAAAAAAAAAAAAAAAGAGGAGAAGGAGACAGAACCTTCTGTCTTGCCCTCAGAGTATCCAACGAGGGCCCCAGGAAAGCTCAGTTAGCCCAGGGGCAGAGCTGAGGAGGCCAGCTAAACCAGCAGGTCTAGAGAAGGACTGCTCAGAGAACTCTCAGGGCCAAACACAAACGGAGACCTCCACTCTTGGCCTGAATATTTACCTGAGCCCCCCCCCCGCACAAGGGATGCCCACCTGGCTTGGACCCAGAAACCAGGAACTAAGAGAATCGCCAAATATACAGCCTCAATCCAGTGTTTGGCCCCATGGGGGCGCAGAGACAGCCGCGGCCAATCCAGTTGCGCCTGGGTGGACTAGTTCAAGTCCACTCACACCCACTCAGGTGAGGCGGGCCGCCTGGCTGGGTCTCAGGGCTTACAGGAACAGACGGGGCTCACGTGCGCTGCAATACTTTCCGCTACCGTCACCATGTCCCTGGGCCATGCCTGGTAGCGGCCCCAGCACGCCCGCCCACGCCTGCCTCCGGATTCCAGGCAGATACCTGTCCTCTACCTAAGCACGAGTGCCACCGGAAGCACTCTTAGGAAGGCAGATATTGCATATGATTCTTATCAACTCATTAAAGCAAGTCCCTTAAGAACTTCTTGTTGGCAAGAACCTGAGGCGCCCGAAATCCACGGAAGTGATTTTTAAGAAATCCTCTGACCACCCAAACCCCTTGAATTTCCAGCGCAGGGTCTAGCAAAGAGGTGGCCGCTGTCTCCCTTCCTTCCTCGGCGGTCCCTCCGCCCCTCACCTGTGATGGTGACGGAGCCGTGCGCGTCCTGCTGCAGCACCGGGTTGCGCACCAGGCAGCTGTAGGTGCCGTTGGCGCCCAGGACCACCCTCAGGACGCTGCGCACGTCGAATAAGCCCTGCTCGTTGGCCATCTGCGACGTGCTCACGTTGCCGGACAGGGGCGCGCCCTGCCCGTCCTGCCAGACCACCTCGGCCTCGGGGTAGCCCCGGTAGCTGGAGCACGTGATGGTCACCGTGTCCCCGGGACGCAGATCCTGGCTGGGCTCCAGGGTCATGCTGGGCTTCGAGTAGGGGGCTGAAAGGTGGCAGGTGTCAGTGGCGAGGGCGGGGGAGAAAAAGGACGCGTCGGGCTGAGCACAAGGGTCCTCTCGGGTTCTGGGGCGGCGGCACAGACGGGGGCGGGCTGGGGGGGGGCGGGCCGAGGCGAGGGCGCCCCGCCGGGTGCTCACCCGCCACCTGCAGGCTGACGGCCGCGCTGCCGAAGTCCCGGATGCTCACGAAGCAGGTGAAGCTGCCCTCGTCCGCCACGCGCACGCGCCGCAGCCTCAGGGACGCGTTGCCCTGCGCCAGCAGGTCCGGGAACAGCGCCGTGCGGTTGGCGTAGGCGCTGCCCTGGTCGCGGCCCTCGGCGAAGCTGTGCACCAGCTGCTTGGTGTCCGTCAGCTGCCAGATGAGGTTCAGCTGCGCCAGGCTGAAGCCGGGCTCGGGGGAGAAGGAGCAGCGCAAGGTGGCGTCGGTGCCCACCAGGGCCACCACGGGGTCTTCAGGGACCCGGACCTCCACGGCTCCTAGAGACGGGGCGGGGCGATGAGGCGGGTCGGAGATACACCAAGTCTCCCTGGGCTCCTCCCCCCATCCCAGCTAACCCCAGGCCCTACCCACCCCTCCCTTTAGGCCTGAGACCCAAAGTTCATTGGCTTGGGTCCTCATCAGTCCAGGAAACAGTGAGCAGCTGAACGTGCCAAGCATAACTGCAAGGACCACAAAGAGAACAACACTAAGATCAGGCCCTTCCAGAACTTACACTAACAGAAGAGAGAGACACACTGCGCACAGATTCTAATCAGCATGTGAGTGGGGTGAGAAAGAAAAAAAGCCAACGAATTTGAAGGTAAAGTGGTGGCTTTTCAAAAATCTGCCAGGTACTTTACACCTGCCTATGCGATCTGTATTTTCTGGTAAGTACATGTTATTTTTATAAATTGGGAAGGGGACTTTAAAAAAAAAAAAAAAACGCCAAAAATGTTAATAGTGGTTTTCTCTGGTTGGTAGAGGATCGCGAGTGCTTTTTTCTTTTCCTAAATAAACATGATTAGCTTTTGTAAAAGAAAGAACACCCACACCTTTCAATATGGTGGTGAAGCATGTGCTCTTGAAAGAAGTGGTATTAAGCTGATATTTACAGGGGATGAAAGAGAGTGGACATACAGAGAGCCAGGGTGGGAGTGTTCCAGGCAGTGGGGACAGCAGGTGGGGAGACCCTGCAAGACCCAGCTTGCAGTGTGAAGACAGCAGCATGAGTCCAGTGTGGCAGAAGCTTCTGGATGGAAGGGCGTGTCTCAGCCAGCTGAGGTCAGTCAAGGAATTGAGGTGTTTCTGTGAGGAATGGGAAGTCACTGGAGAGTGTTTTAACCCAGCATAATCTGGGTAACAAAACTTGAAACTCACTCTAGCTCCTCTGTGGAGAGTGGCTTATGGGACAGCACGACGGGGGCCAGCTAGGGAGCTATTTCAGTCATCCCTGTAAGAAGTGGTGGTGGCATTGCTTCAGAGGATGGCAGGAGAGATGGAGGGAATGGATTCAAGGTTTATTTTTATTTTATTTTTTAAATTTTTTTAATTTTTGAGTCAGAGTCTCACTCTGTCACCCAGACTGGAATGCAGTGGCACGCTCCCGGGCCACCGCAGCCTCGACCTCCTGGGCTCCGGTGATCCTTCTGCCTCAGCCATCCAAGTAGCCGGAAATACAGGTGCACGCTACGATGCCCGGCTAATTTTTTTTTTTTTTAATTTATTGTAGAGATGAGGTCTTGCCAACTTGCCCAGGTGGGTCTCGAACCCACAGGCTCAGGCAATCCACTCGCCTCGGCCTCCCAAAGTGCTGGAATTACATTATTGCATCATTGTTCTCAATCAGCTTAACATGTAACCAACCATGCTGCCCATTAAAAGAGGACTTGATTTTAAAAATGTGGCACATATACTCGATTTATTATTATGCAGCCATACAGAGGAACACAATCATTAACTTCACAGCAACCTGTATGGACTTAGAGTCCATAATACTGAGTGATCTTTACAGAAA